GCTTGTGCCGAACGGTCGTGATGGTGTTCCGGTGCCAGCGGGACAGCTGGGCCCGGCAGGTAGCGTCGGGCCGGGGCCGGGGCGCGGGGCAGGCCCGGGCGGGCCCTCACGGTCTCTGTCTCAGTTCACCACCAGGGTGGTGTCGTGCCGGGCGGCGGAGCTGCGGCCCGAGGGCGGCGGGGAGCCGGTGCGCGGGTTCCAGGTGGTGCTGGAGGACACCATCCTCTTCCCCGAGGGCGGCGGGCAGGTACGGGCCGGGCTGGGCCGGGCGGGGGCCGGGCCGGGGCCGGTGGCGCTGATGTCCCGTGTCCGCAGCCGGATGACCGCGGCCTCATCGGGGACGTGCCGGTGCTCCGCGTGACCCGGCGGGGCCCCGAGGCCGTGCATTTCGTGCCGGCCGCGCTGGAACCGGGCGCTGAAGTGCTGCTGTCGCTGGACTGGGAGCGCCGCTTCGACCACATGCAGCAGCATTCAGGTCCGTGCCGGTAGCGGGGGGTGCCGATGGGGCGGGGGGCGGTCAGCGCCCGGCCCGTTCCCTCCCTGGTCAGGGTAGGGAGAAACCCGACAGCTCTGTGTGCACAGTCTGTTCCCGGGAGTACTGAGGGCAGCAGGTGCCCCTCTGCGACCTCTCTTGGCGTGGAAACAAACGCAACGAAAACAGGTTTGGAAGGGAAATTGAACCTGCTTTGCAGCCCCCAGCGAGTGCTGCAGTGCTGCCGGGAGCCGAGGCTCACGAGGCCAGAGCTGTGTCCTTGCTGCTGCTGAGCACTGGCAGGAGCCCCTCAGCACCCAGCACTCACCTGTCCTGGAGAATGTCAACAGGAATGACACAGCCTGACTGAAAATACCGGTGGCACTCAGAGCTAGTGCTTGCACATCTCTTCCAGGACAGCATCTCATCAGTGCCATTGCAGAACAGATGTTTGGATTCAAGACAACTTCATGGTGAGCAGGATAAAGGTTCCTTTTGACCCCAGTGTTCTCTTGTTTGGCACATGCCACCATGCTGCCCCAACAGAGCCTGAACACTGAAATGCCAAAAGCAATTTGGACATTTCACTTGAGCTCAGATGTTGTGGGAGAGCTGACTAACCTGGAGAGAACCTGTACAAAGTGTTGGATCTGTCTTGTCCTCTTTAAGTGTTTGGCTTCCATCTGGTGCTCTGAACACAACAGTGAGAGGAGGGAAGTCTGTTTTGTTTCAGTCACCACATTCCCAGCAGTGGAATTCTGGTTCTGCACCAAGGGACCTCCCAGCTGGTCTCAGCTACAGCAGCTGATGTTCTTTCTTGGTGCAGGGAGCTGGGCCGTCAGCGAAGTGTCATTGAGCTGGACACCCCCTCAGTGACAGCTGAGCAGGTCGAGGCCCTGGAGAGGAGCCTGAACGAGAAAATCCGGGACAGGGTTCCTGTAACAGTGAGGGAACTGGCTGCAGATGACCCTGAAATTGAAACAGTGAGTGGTGGGAGAGAACTGATGGGATTTGTGGGACCGGAATAACTGAGCACAGATGTCACCTTCTTTGTCACTCTTCTCTGCCAGGTGAGGAGCCGGGGGCTGCCTGATGACCACGTAGGGCCAGTGCGTGTGGTGGACATCAAAGGCATCGACTCCAACCTGTGCTGTGGGACTCATGTCAGCAACCTGAGTGACCTCCAGGTGGGTGGCTGCAGCTGGGCTGCCTCTGGGAGCCACACTCCACATGGAGTACAGCCAGAGTCTGTGGGATCCACAGGCTGCTTGAGACTGTGCTGATGAGGAAGGGGGTGGCAGCAGCCTCAGGCTGAGGGAGGGTCACACACAGGCTGGGCACCTCAGGTGCTTTTGTTTCCTTGCTGTAGAACTCAGCCCTGTGTGCAGCAGTGACATTTTTGCACTGCCAGGGGTGTTGGCCTTGTTCCCTCTGCTTAAAGCTCTGTTATTTTTGAGTGTTCATTGTGGATGAGAAATTTCCTGTGCAGGAAAATGGTGATAGAATCCTAGACCTGCCTTTAAGTATTTGTACTTTCTCAGTCATTGGTCAGCAGAGACATCCAGATGCCCTATGCAGAGTGCATCTCATTGCTAGAAAATTGCATAAATTCCACTGTACCACTATCCTTTTTTTTTTGTATGTTGACCTTATGGCTGATTTTAATCAATTTATTTTCACTAGCAGATAGTCAAAATTCACCACAAGGCATAATCTGGCGGGAACTGATCACCTGTGTGAATTACCAAAATGCTGTTGTGACCAGGTTGATTTTCTTTTTAAGGTTATTAAACTCCTTGGCGTGGAAAAAGGGAAAAAGAACAAAACCAACTTGGTTTTCTTGGCGGGAAACAGAGTGCTGAAGTCAATCGAACAAAGCCACAGTACTGAGAAGGCTCTAACCTCCCTGCTCAAGTAATACCCTTTCCACTTCTGTTAATCTTCACTTTTCCTCCTGAGAGATACCACATAAGCCTCAGGGTACATGTTGTGGGGCTGTGTATGATGTTGCCTGTTTTGCTCCTTCAGGAAATCCTTCCTTTGTCCTTCAGAACAGTGATCCAAAATTTCCCATTTCTTTCAGAAATGGGCCAGGTGAGCACGTAGAGGCTGTGAAGAGACTGCAGAGCTCTGTGAAACTGCTCCAGAAGGTACAAGAATGGCTGGGAAAAGTGGGTTGTCACTATTTCCTGTAGACCTTTAGCTGTGGTAACTGAGAGTCAAATCATTGGCTTCCGTTTTTGTGGATATTATGGAAAGTGCTCAAACCTCTGGGAACACAGCTGTGTTCACACTGACTGCTGCAGCTGCAGTACAGTTCAGTTGCTTTTCTTTCAGAATAACCTGAACCTGCTTAGAGACATTGCTGTTTTGATAGCCCGCGACTTCAAGAGCAAACCTGCTCCAAAGCAGCTGTTTGTATTGCACAGGTATGGGGGAGCTCAGGGAGGAGGGGGCAACAGTATCCCACACATTTTGTGACAGTTGGATCTCTCACATCTGTGCAGTTTGTTTTCTCAAGGAAGAATGTAAACAAATAAATAGAATATTAAACTGCCTTGGCCTACTGCAAAGTTGTGTAATTAAAGGAATTTGTTCATAATTCAGTCACTCAATTCTTCTGGTTTTGTAGCTGAGAAATTAATCCATCTAATGTGTCCATCTAATTCCCTCTGCACTTGGTATTTTCAAATAAAACCAGGGAGCTCTGGTTCTTAAAGACAACACTTACATAATTCTTAACATGTCCACGGGAGTGTCCAGTGAGAATTTACATAGGTAGACAAATAAGAGCAAGAGGCCAAAATCCCTGCTCAGGCACTTGGTTTCTGATTGAGATTTTGTACTCTGGAGGGGGGGTTTTGCTTCTTTCTGAAGTGTTTTTTATCCATCCATACAGGAAAGAGGGTGATTCTGAATTTATGAACATCATTGCTAATGAGATTGGGACAGAGGTGAGTCACTGATGAAGACTAAACTGACACCACTGGTTTTTCACCCATTATACACAGACAGGGACCTGCCAGTCTGCTGTTCCTCACACAGTCATGATCTGGAGCTCTGGTTCCTTTGACAGGTACCTGAGGTGTCCTGTCCCCAGCAGCTGCAGTCTGTAGGGCAGTCCCCAACAGTGAGAATTCAGAGCACTGAAGAAGAGCCTTAGCCCCCCAAGAGTTGTACAGAGTAGAAACAGGTTAGGATAGGATTAGGCAGGAGTAGAATAGAAAGAACAGAAGGTTTCAGTTACAATCACCTAATTCAACTGCCAACTGTATCCTCTTAACTTGGGATACTCCAGTATTGTTCTGTCCCAACAGCACATGACTGAGCACAAAAAGTTCAGATGCCCTTCCCGTTTACTTTTCTCAAGCAGTCTCAGTAGTGCACATAGACTTCCAATTTGTTGGTTTGCTGTTTGTGTCCTGTGGCCAATGTCTGTCCTCTTCTTGGATGAGGATGGCACTGATTTATCTGGAACAAGGCCCATCTCTGTCCACAGGAAGCCCTGCTATTCCTGACTGTGGGAGATGAAAAAGAAGCAGGACTCTTCCTTCTAGCTGGACCTGTTGAAGCAGTTGAAAATTTAGGTCCCAGGTAACATGTTTTGTGATTTAACTTGAGTTAGAATTCTGATGTTGCAGACTGAGCAGCCAGGCACAGATCTGTGTGTGCTGTCTGGAGCAGGTTGGGCTCCAGCCTGTGGTGTTGTTGCTGCAGGGTGGCAGAACTGCTGGGTGGGAAAGGAGCTGGGAAGCGTGGCCGCTTCCAGGGCAAGGCAGCCAAGATGAGCCGTCGAGGAGAAGTGCAAGCTCTGCTCCAGGAATTCATTAACCATCAGAACCCTGGAGCATAAGAAACAATTCTCAAAGTAGGTTTGTCTTCCCTTTGTTTGCATAGGCCCCTGTGAGCTTCTCTACCAGAGAATAAAGACCTGAACCCAACAGCTGGTGTGCAAATGCTCTGCGTGGGCTGGTTTGGTGCTCACGGAAATGGGGAGGGGATCTGCCATCAATGCTTTGCTGCAAGGGCTCATTACTCAAGACAAATGGTACAGGGATTAAGGTAGCCCTTAGTTAACCACTTTGTAGGGTTCCTAAATCCAGAAAGGGCCTCTTGCTGGCAGTACTTTGGGGCATTTGGCTTTGTGCCAGTTGCTGAGGAGGAGTTGCTTGGCATGAAGGCTCAAGCAAGAGGCAGCTGGTCCTCCCAGACACCTTGGGCTGGGCAAGGGCAGGGAATAGCTGGAGAGGAGAGCAGGTGCCCCACAGGCAGGAGATCATTCCCCACCATGTACCAACTGCTTTCCCCTGATGGGGTGCAGTTGTTATTGGTCATTTTTTGACCATCAGTAGTTTCTCAGGTTGATGAAACTGTAAACTCCCTAGGGATCAGGCAGATCTGTCCCTGGTGTTCCCTCAGCTCACCTTTCCTGCCCAGGCAGGCCCTGGAGCTGCTGCAGTTTCCTCTGGAGGATGTGGAGTCACAACGGGGCACAACAGGTAATTTGAGAATTTACCCTTCCCCTTGCTAGAAATGGAATGACAGGTTTATTCCAGATGTTGGTAATACACAGAGAAACAGAATAAAAGAAACCTCCATGCTAGGGGAAGTTTATCTGCCGTGAGCAAGGAGATGGGAGCAGCCCCAGCAGACGGGGTTCCCAGCCATGGTGCTGTGACTGCTGCATGGCCACAGCCTTGGCTGAGCTCTTGGGATGGTGTCAGAACACAGGAACCACCACTGGGGCCTGCAACTGGGTGTGGGGTCAGAGCTTCAGGGGCTGGTGCTTTGGGAGAAATCCTACACATACACACAGTCTGGCAGGAAGAAAGTACCTGCCTATCTATTTTGGACTGTCTCAGACTGAGCAAGGATGTTTACTGAGAAAGTAAACAGGGCTGTACTGCCTGCACAGCTCAGAGGGTGCAGGTTGAGCCCACAGGATTTCCTGCTGCAGTGAGCACTGGGCTGGGGTACTGAGGAGGGAGGGGCATGACCGCAACCTCGCACCGCAGCCAAATGCCAGTTCTGTCCCCAACACCCTGGGGGCTCAGCACAGCCCCAGCTGAGCCAGTTGGTCTCAAAGCTGAGCTTGTTTCTGTGAGCAGTGAGGTGACACAAGTTTGTTCCTGGCACAAAGTGCATCCAGAAGCCTTGGATAAACAGCACAAAAAGCAGCTCATTGGCCCCAGTGTGCTGTCAGTGTTCAACTGCACCTCAGGGCAAAAGGTAGAGACCCAGGGCACTAGGCACTAGCCTTCCCAGTGGCTTGAGCGTGTCCTGCAGGTGTTGAGGGTCTTCAGCACCCAGGAAAAATGTCCTTTACCATCTGCAGGCCATGCCACAACCCTGCATCCAGGAGCTGATCCCCCACCCCATGGCACTGGCTAGCAGGACACTCAAACTCACCAGCCTAAACAATGTTCAGCTTTAATAAAATCCCTCCTGTGCACAACCCCACCCCATGTCCTGTGTGCACAGGTGTGTGTTATGCATGTACACACATGGGCGTGTGTGCACCCTGCACTGCCTCGCACACAGGTGAGCACCAAACGTCCCAGGCCTGGGGGGTCTCTCCATGTCAGTGTCTGCCCATTCCTGCCACAGAGCTGCCTCTTCAGCTGAGGTGAGAACCCTGCTCGCAGTGGTGCTGTCCCCAGCCCTGCAGCATGGAGGTGGCCTGTCCCCACGAGCTGCAAGGGAGTGCAGGACCTCCCGCTGCTGCTGCTGGGTCCTGGGCTGGTGACCCCCAGCTGTGGGTGCAGAAGGGACAGCAGGGGAGTCCTGGGCACGCAGGGCTCTCTGTGCCACCAGCCGTGAGAGCAGCGTGGCTGCCACTGTGTGTCCGTGTTGTGGGAGCCACCTGGCAGCAGCACCAGCCCAGCCTCCGTGGTCTGCTCCCAGGGCAGAGCCAGCCCGTGCAGATTCAGCGGGAAGCAGACAGCGGCTGAGGTGCAGCCAGGGCCTGGCAGCTGTCCCTGAGCCCAGGGCTGGGGTGTCTGCCTGCCTTAGGCAGCCTTTTTGTCCTGTGTGGCCAGGAGCTGGGAGAGGCAGTAGGGGATGAGGCCGACAGTAGCCAGCGGCACGGCCGCGCTCTTGCAGAAGGAGAGGGCGTAGAAGAGCAGCTGCATGTGGGAGGGTGGCTTGAAGGCATCGAAGATGTGGAGGATGAGGAGGGAGGCAGCGATGCAGCCCAGGCGGAAGGGCAGCTGCTGGCCCTGCTTTAACCGGGAGCTCTCCTGGTACATGTGGGAGTTGAGGGCCAGCCCCAGCCCAAAGAGGATGCCCAGGTTACGGAGGAGGCTGGCAAAGGGAGTGGTGTCAATGTGGACCCACTCAGGGTGGCTGCACCACTTCTGTGCCTTCTCCAGCGTCCAGAGCAGGTCCACACCGAATGTCCAGAGCAGCAGGTAGAAACCCAGGGTGAAGCTGAAGAGGAAGACGGTGATGCCCAGGTACCGCTGGAAGCTGGCATGGTAGATGCAGTGGACATGCTGGAAGGTCTTGGCCACAGCCATCCCTGCCAGGGAGGATTGGTCAGTGCTGTGGGTACTGCAGTCCAGCACAGTGGTGCTGCAGGGCAAGGGAAGGGGGTCTGATGCACTCACCTGAGAAAACCCCTGCAATCACCTGGTGGGGGAAGTGAGCAGCAATGAAGACTCGGGACATGCAGACACAGACCTGAACTGCCCAGAACCCAATCCAAAGCACTGTCCACAGCACCCTGGGAGGGACAAGTGGCCATGTCAGTGCCAGGGCCAGCTTGCACTGCCATCATGTACTCCAAACGTCTGGCTGCTGAACCTGTCCCCATGTAGACCCTACCTGGGGTGCTGCCAGGCCACAGCCTTGTGCCTTGATGGGCTTGGCTGTGCCTGTCAGTGCTGGGAGCTGCCTCTGCCTAGAACAGGTGGTTTTGGCACACAACTTACCAGTATCTGAATGTCCTTGACTGCTTTCCTCCAGTAGCAGAGAGGAGAGCCGTCACCATGACATAGTACACTCCTGCTGCACCCATGGCATGGCCAGATGGGCTCCCTGGGCAAGAAGAGAGACCCAGGTCAGACTCTGCATGGGCCAGAGCCGAGCACAGGCAGCTGTGCTGAACCACCAAGGGTCAAGGTCTGCTCTGTGCAGGGGCTGCCCTGCCTCCTTCCCCTGCAGGCACAGCCAGTGTCCCCAGGAGCTCAGCAGTAAGGGCCTCCTTCCAGAGCTGTCCAGGGGCATGTGCTGCCTGCAGGCTGCCAGCCACAGCCCTGGCCAGGCCAGCACCCCCCCTTTGCGAGGGCAGGTCACCCCCTGCCCCTGGCTGTACCATGGCCTGGGGAACCCTACCGGGACCAGTCTCGCAGGTGAGCGGGAACTGCTGGATCTCTGGTGCGGAGTTGTTGCCATAATAGTCTGTGTCGAGGACCCACCAGTATGGCCTCTCCCCAAAGAGGATCCTGAAAAGAAAGAAGGGATCTAGGGAGGTCCTGGGCACAGCTGTAGCTTTAGATCTGCCCTGGGGGATGGAAGTAACTAAGGACCCACAAGTGGTCCAGGGCATTCTGACAGACACAGCACCCGGCTGATTGCTTGGTTCTGACAGCTGGCACTGCCTGTCCATGTCCCCATCCCCAGCCCTGAAGGGGAAGAGCAAGAACTTCCTGGAAGCAAGTCAATATGACCTCTTGTAGAGAGGGGCTCTGTGAAGATCCCCCCACTCAACACCACAGCCCTGGCTGTGGCTGAAGGGAGGTGCAGAGGCTCCATCTCTGCTTGGCTCTGGGAAGGGGGCAGCTGTTGCTGCATGGCTTGGGAAGAAGTGACCACTGTCACTGCTCAGCTGGGGCTGAACTCTGTTTTTTGTTCTGCTCTGGCACTGGGGCTGAGAGCACCCATCCAGCCCACATTAGTCCAGGTATGCCAACACACGGTGGGAGTGTTGGCTGGGGGCACTTACCACTTGAAGACGAGGTTGAGCCAGTCTCCAATTACAGCCACCCAGATGAGCCTGATGCCCACTGCTTCACTGAAGTGGAACCAGATGGGGAAGAGGACAAAAAAAGCATTCCTGAGATCAGCAGCATAAGAGATGAAGAGGAACCAGTCCTGGGAGCCCTGGAAGCGCTGCTGCAGCCAGTGTGTTGTCCTGATGCCTGCATCATGCAGGAGGTTCATGTTGGCCTCCATCCTCCTCTGCTGCCGCTGCCCTCGGCGTGGCTCTGCCTGTCCCGTACTCCACTGTGCCACTGGGGTTTTATACTCTGCAGGGTCTTGTTTGCAGCGGGCAGGTCACTGTCCCAGCACTGATCTTTGGACCCAAAACCACTCTTTCCAAAGGTACATCACCAGGGGGTTGTAACAAACATGTTTGGAACAACTTACGTAAAAGGGGAAAACAGGCTTTGAGGGCACATGGAGTGCAGGGTGCTCCAGCTCCAGCAGCATCCCCTGCCCTGCCCCATCCCCTCACTCAGGGGGATCCTGCAGGCCTGGCTTCTCCAGCTATCCAATACAACAGTTCAGCTCTGACTGAACCACAGTCCTTGCTCCATTACTCTGCGTGTGACAGTCCTGCAGAGCTGCCGTGTCCAGGGCTGACAATTGCTCTGGTCTCTCTGCCACCCCCCGTGAACCACCACCAGAGCATGGCAAGGATGTCCAGGAGCATGGAGTGGGTGCATGGAGCAGAGGGCAGACTGCCCACCCCCCTCCTCATTTGCCAGGCTAATTTAACCAGGACTTTGCATAATGGGAAACTTTCAAAGCCATTCCTGGAGGTCCCTGCAGTCCCAGACAGCCAGGCCTGGGATGCTCCTGGCTGCCAGCCATGTTCTTCTGATCTCTAGTGGGGGGCTAAAGGACCCTTGCAAAAAGGGACAGCACTTCTCCTCCCAGCACTGCTCCACTGGATTAACCCCTCCTGCCCCATCAGACCCAGCTGTAGGTACAGAGCCAAACACACAGCTCATCCTGCGGTGCCCATGGCCGTCCCCTCCACCCCAGCTGCACTCTGCTGTCCCTGGCACTGCAGCTTTATCCTCCACAGCTGCCAGAGCATGGACACACAGCCCTGCAGCAGCAGCACAGGGTGCCCAGCCAGCACCCACCACAGCCGAACAGGCAGCGAGGCATTAATGATCAACAGCCAGTGAAATGCATCACTTATCTCCCCCCTGAGAAAATTCACGTCAAGATCCTTGAACCCCTGCCCTATGTTGTTTGCTCTCTGTGAGAGCTGTGTCCAGTAGTGAGTCCTGCTGACAAACAGCAGCACTTTCAGGCCCCATCCTGCCCCTCTGCCGATGCAGAGCCCAGGGAGCCATGGGGACTGACAGGCAAAACACCAGCAAACCTCGCTCCCTGGGATATGGGCATGGGTGCCCTGTGAGACAAGCAGGCAAAGGCCACAGACTCAGCCCTGCTGCAGGCATGTCCTATCCAGCCTGGCCTTGCTGCACCCAAGGAAGGTGGTCCCAGACCCTGGACCGAGCTCCTGACCTGCAAAACATCCCAACAAAACAGAAGTTCGCACAGAAATGGAATTACTCTTGAAAAGCAAATTCCCCAACAGCTCATTCCAGGGTCGTCAACTGAGAGTGGCTTTGGCCAGCGTGAAGGAATGCAACAGACTTGGCTTCTGTTCCAAAAATATTTTGAAACCATCAGCAATAAATCCTTCACAAGAGATTTCACAGCGGAAAATGGGGCAAAAGGTGTTGGGGGATGGAAAAAATCACTGCAGGAAAACTGGGGCCAGAGTGGGGAGAGGGCAGGAAGCAGGATGGAAGCAGTCACCTCCTCCCTCCCAGCACTGGGGACAGAGTGGCTCAGCCCTGCTGTGCAGTGCTAGGAGCACATGGCACTGCTCAGGACTGTGCCAGAGGTGCCAGGGTCCACACGGTCCCAGCACTGCTCCATGGCCTGCCCTGTGGGTGAATGCCCAGCCCCAAAGTCACTGTGTGGATCTGGGGCAGGGCAGGGAAGGAGCTGAAGCTGCCCAGGCACTGCAGGGTTCTGCATCCTGGCTGCTCTGACAGGGTCCAGCTCATCCCCTGTGCTCTGCAGCCCTGCCAGCAGCACCCTGGGCATGTGCACTTTAAACTGTCTGGCTTTCCCAGGGAAGGAGCGGGGCCAGGCTGGGAGAACCCAATTTCTGCCCTGGGTCTGTGCACAGCAAGCCCAGGAGCAGCTCACAGCCGCTGTGTGAGGGCAGCAGCTGGCTCTGGGACACGCTGTGCCCATGATTCCCAAGGTTCTGGATGCAGCTCTGGCCAGTGGTGCTGTGCCATGTGCAGTGCCAGTGTTTGGTCCAGAATGTTCCCAGACAGCTGCAAGGTGCAGGCTGTGCTGTGGCAGCGTGGTCACTGCGTCAGTGCAGAGTCCAGGCAGCACCGCACATGTGGGCACGCGGTGTCGGGCAGGGAGCTGGCTGGACACGACCTCCCTCTCGCACTGCTCCTGGCAGGAGCCTCTGGGCACAGCCCCTGCTGTCACCCCAGGGCACTCAGGGACCGCTGCAACCTCTCACTGAGCCGTGGCCTGAGCTGCCCTCTCCTCCCATCACCTCTCCCGTGTGCTGCAGCAAGCTGAGCTGGCTCCCAGGGGCACATGGCAGTAGGGCTGCTCAAGCCCCTCACAGCACGTTCTGGACAGACCCATCCACTACAGCAAGGGGTTAGAGGGGATGGATAGCCACCATGCCCCCAGGGACACTTTGGTGAGTGCTTAGCCATGTGCCAGGGCTGGCACTGGCCTCATCGAGCTCCTTGGTGTCCCCATCCCAGCCTGGCACGGTGGGGACGGGCTCTGGGCTGTGGGATCCTGCAGCCCAGAGCTGCACATGCAGCTAGGGGTGTAGAATCAAGGGTCCCCACACACGGGGGCTGAGCACATTGGGCAGCAGCCAAACCCAGAACTAATTAACACAGCTCAGAACAACTGTTAAACATTAACTCCATCAGTTGCTCCATATTCCCTGGCAGGAGTCTCCTGCCAGCACCAGGGTCCAGGAGCATTGCCAGGACACGCTCACACAGCCACACCAGGCCCTCCCTGGGCTGGCCCCACATCCCTTGGACCTCCACAGAGCTGAGCCAGGGCCATCCCCACAGGGCAGCAGCTCCCACAGCATCAACCGTGCTGGGGTCTGGCCCCGGCCACAGGAGACAGAGCAGCACCCGTGAGCTATGCGAGTTTGTTCAGGAAAAACACTCGAGTGCCTGTTTATTGGGAAAGGCAGACATGGGACAGCCCAGCCACGAGCTCCAGCAGCCTCCCAGCGAGCCCAGTGCCTCTCCATCTGCAGAGCTGGCAGCAGCAGCCAGAGCCTGGCAGTGCCTGGGCACAGTGGCCTTGATGCTGCAATGGCTGCGTGGCTGGGAGGATGTTTGGGCGTCCCATGGCAGGTCCACAGCAACACCACAGCCCTCTGTGGTGCAAAACCTCAGCTCCTAGGGCAGCTGCAGCTTTGTGCTGTGGGCAGCCTTGGCCAGCACTGTCACCCTGGGTACACCGATGATGAGGTGGTGGAAGCCCCATCCCAGAGGAGGGGAGTGGCTGTGGGCATGTCACAGTACACAGGGTGACATCCAGGATGGAAGAATGAAATCACTCCCAGGGCTTGTTTTTCAGAGGTTTTGGGTCTTCCTTTGGCAGAGCTGCAGCGCTGAAACAAGAACTGAGCTTCTCCCAAAACCTGACCCTGAGCACATGACGCCCTGGGCAGGTCCTGCTGTGGGACAGAGACCCTCTGAGCACCCACCCGAGAGCCAGCAGCACCCCCTGGCCCATCAGAGGCCACCAAAAGGCGGTGCCAGGCTGAGGTTGAGGAAGCCCCCAAAGTGGAAGGGGGACAGGCGGGCGGCACAGGCAGCGGCAGAGGACAGGCAGGCAAGGGGATTGGCCCCACAGGCCCCAACATCCTGTTCACTGCTGAAGTAGACACTGTCAGATGAATCCACCGAGGGATCCTCGTTGAAGTAGTTGTAGGGCCTCAGGAAAAAGCCGACACCATTCCCCACAGTCACCGTGTTGGGGATGTCTTCAGCGTGAGGGACGTGTAGGAACCCCACAGTGATCCAGGCAACCAAGTCCTGGGAGAAGAGGAACATGTGTCAGGCTGAGCAGGACTCTGCCAGCCTGGCAGCTGCTCAGTCTGACTCTGGGACAGGTGCAGCTTCTGTCCAGGATGGCCCCCACAAAGTTCAGCTTCTCTCCAGCCCAGGGACCCCAGCTTACCTCGTTGGTGATGGTCTCGTTGTTGATGAAGTCAGCAAAGGCGACAGTGGGCGTCCAGGGGTCATTCTGGTTGTAGATGCTGGTGCTGGTGGGCTCCTCCTCCTTCCGCCGGGTGACGGCCAGCTGGTACCTGCCAGCACAGGGACCAGAGGGGCTTGTCCCTGTCCCTGCCCAGCACAGAGCAGGGCAGCCATGGCACTGCCAGCTGGGATGCACTGACAAACTGGGGCTGGATGCATCCCTGGTCTGCCCTGGGGCAGGGAGGGAAAGGGCTGGGAGAGCTGTAATGGGCAGCAGCCCCAGCATCTTCCAGCTTTGCAGGGGATCCCTTGCTGCCTGTGGCTGGGAAACATGAATGGATCCAGGTGCAAACATTGCCACTCAATGCCCAGTGCACTCCCTTAAGCCACAGCTACTTCTCCCCCACACAGCCGTCCCCAGCATGGGCTCCATCAATTCACCAGTGAGACTGGTCTGTGCTTACCCCAAGCATTTTCCAAAAGGTGTTCTGTCCTCATGGGACGATATCACAACCTGGTGATGCCAGTGCTTCCCTTAGGAATTTGTTCTGCAGCCTACTTCCCCTCAAAGGGAAAAACACATGGGGCTGCTCTAAATTAGTCTGACGTGAGGTCAGATTCCTGCCTGTGAACTACCACAAGCAGATGTTATTGAGCAACATCTCAAGGAAATTTCAGAGCCAAAAAGCTATGTGTGTTTGCTGTTTAACCCTTCCCTGACAGCCTCCCTCCACCAGAAGCAGCTCCACAGCTCTGGCACCCACCTGCCCCAGCTGATGGAGCGTTCCATGGAGCTGTTGGTGGGCAGGTGCTTCCCAGCAAAGCTGATGATCTGGATCCGGTAGCTGCGTGGGTGCTCCCACTTGTTGGGATTGGGGCTGACAAAGGAGAGGTAGCGGGGCATGGGGACACTGAGTGGGAACGCTGCCTCATCCTCCTTCTCCAGCCTTTGCCTGCGGAGGTATGGCCGCTCAATGGTGTTCTGTGT